CCCCAGTAAGGAGCATGAGGAGCACTTGAACGTTCATGCCGACGCGCATGAAAGACTCGATACAGTGCTTCAATAGAGCTCTCAAAAAGGCTATCGCGAGCAGCTTGCTCTGACCCGCACAACTACTACTATGGTCGCGGACGACTTGAATGAAGGCTGCAATATTGATGACTTCCAGGACCTCGATAATATGAATGATATTTCGGTTGCAGGGCTGCTCGACGCCTATTCTCTAGCTGACCATTACAACCCGCTCGAGCTCTCTCAGACATCAGGCATTCTCCGACAGTTTCTGGTTCCGGAAGACAGCTTGCTTGGATGTTCTGCGAGCCAAAGTGCCACACGGTGTGGCCCACACCCCCTTCAGAGGGCCTCCCGGCGCACCGCGATTCAGCCGTTTATGAGAGTACTCTTCACTCTGCAGTGCAGAGCGTATCGCGTTGGAGTTCGTGGTACTCGCAGGAGGACGCGTCGGCTATGGAGAGAAGATTCCGCCTACATCGTCGACCTCCCCTAGTGATACGAGCGGCTGATGGGTCACAAGTACTGATCCTCAGCCCGGCGCACCACGAGGAAGCTTATATTGATAGGAAGGGATGGAGCAGCATTAACATGATGGTTGTATGTGACTTCGATGCAGTCTTTCGGTATATTGATTGCGGATGGCCTGGATCTACTCATGATTCGAGGGTATTTACGAATAGCTCTTTGCCAAAACGGTTGCAGCAACTATCACCGTACTAGGTAATTTGGGTTATCCGTGCAGGAGTTACATACTAACCTCTTACAAGAATAACCACAAACCGCCGCTGAACCAAGTGCAAAGTCAATATCGAGACTGTCTGTGCGCCGCAAGAGTCATCATCGAGCAGGCCTTTGGGTGGCTAAAGATGAGGGTCAGGATCAGGGTTTATCCATTTTGGGAATAATGGCACCTTGTTCCCAATATGGGAAATTTCCCGGAAATTCCGGGAAAAATTGCGGGAAATTTCCCATATTGGAAAAAATGGGAAAAATGTTTTTTCCCTGATAAGAGGATCTACTGGCTGGCTTTTTCATCGGATACACTTCGATCGACAGACCAGAAACGCCTTCAAAGTCGAGATCATGAACATACTGTTCCTTTCGAGCTATGATGATGAAGAAATCGTCATATCAATAGTTACAACTTGTACACAACAGGGTACATTGTAACTTACAAGAATGGCGATCAATAGTGACAAATACCATAGAACTTGCTACCCGTTGCTGTCTATTGTCATAAAACAGGGTGTTTTTATCCTAATGCTGCTCTCGTAGTCTTCAAGGGCAGCGGCCATGTCGTACTTACCCTAGATATGACTTCTCACTAATTGTTCCAATTTTCATGGTGTGGCGCGCGCTTTCCATTACAATTAGCTATTTACATAGGTTTATTCAAATAATCAGTGGATAGTCTATACGTATGATGAGATCCTTATCCTAACTAATCTCGAAGTTTTTCGAGTGAAGATTCAGGGCATTGATTATCTGCGTTAGGGACTTCGTTCTTAGCTTTTTGAAACGCTACGTCTATGATAGACGGTCTATCGCTCATGATGGACGGTCCATCGAAGGGAGAGTTTAAGCCCGATGGTTTCTACCAGCTGTGTTATACCCTTGATGGATGAAAGTACACATGCCACTTTTGCCAACGTCCACTCGAAGCGTTTGGTATTTGGAACAGCTGGAAGGCACGACAACATCTCAGCATGCATCATTTTCATTTGGTCGCGGCCAACTGGCCCTCAACAATGTCCCAACTCAACACTGAAATCGTATATATATCGAAGTTTTGGACTCCCAAGCCGTTGGATAACTAAAACTGAGTCAGATAATCTGACTCAGATTTCGTGAGAGTAATGTTCGATGATAGGCGCACTATAGAGAGACTTGTGGAGAAGCGCGCGCCCAGGGTGGGAAAAATCGCTCACACGGCTAGAACACTGCTCTTGCACTTTACTATGGACATTTAAGAACACTGGGATAAACATGATCGCTTTATGAGTATGACCCGTAGTTTACACTGCTCAGGGAGAGAAAAACGAGGTGTTTTCGCATTTTTCCCAAGGGAAAAACTGGCAGTTTTTCCGGGAACGGGAAAGTGGGAAATTTCCCAAGGGAAACTTTTCCCATTTTCCCAATGGACAATCCACAACGGCCTGATCAAGGAGACTATTACTCTCCCTACCATCATCGACATCATCTCGGCATTGGACGCCGTCACTTGTCACCCCAAACATCAAAACATTCCTTGGTGTTTCGCCCAACTGGACTATGTAGCTGCTTATCGGCAGCTCCCCTGCAGTGCCATCGAGTCGAAGTTCCTAGCTGTGAAGGTTGAAAAGCCGAACGGCGAGCAATTGGTCGCGTTAGTAACGCGGCGTTACACAAGAGGCTCCCATTCGGCCTGCGGGTATCAGGTCTCTGGTGGTGCAGAATAAGCTCGGCCCACCTCAGAATTTACAGAAGCCTAACCAAGAAGTACGTCTCTATTCCTACCTGCTATGTTGACGACGTCTGCCTTCTCGTTCCTGCGACCTTGGCACCTTTTCTAACGGCAGTATACGCCTTGATTATCAAGTCCCTCGGCTTTGAGGTTGCCTGGCACAAACTTACTATGGCTTCAAGTGATCCCACCGTTCTGGGGTTCACCTTCCATGTCGACAAGTCCCCAACGACTCAGGCACCTGCCGGGTGCGCTGCGAACACAAGCTGATCCGTGTAGCATGCAGGCTACATCAGTCGCTAGTTGGATCAAGTTTCAGTGTTTTTCTTATATATTCCGGTTGCGTTGCCAGTCTCGTCTGTCAAAGTCTCGATCTTTCCCCCCGATCGGTGGTTATTCTTTTCCTTTCCTCTCTTTTGTAGTGTACTTTTCCTTCCGTCGCTACCACTCCCTCCTCATGGCACGAGTGTCAGTCCCGTCCAAGAAGGTTTCCGTCATCCACGATGACATCGACTCCGTCCTAACCTCTGGTCGCCTCTCCTTGAGAACTGCCAGGCGGCTGACTGGACGCCTCCTCTGGTTCAGCCAGCTGACGTGGTTCCTCAGGTCGTATTTGGGCTCCTTATACAGCGCCATCCGTCAGATGGAGCTCTCTGGGCGAAGGTCAGTCACGATCGGGAAAACGATACGAGCCGATTTGTCCTCATGGAAGCTGCGAATCGCAAGTTTATCTTATGAAATTCTCGACCTATCGGCAGGGTCCGTCTACGTCAGTGCCTCCGACGCGTCTCTGCCGATACCGACCAGAGACTCTCTGGTCGGTATCGGCGGTTGGCTGTCATCTCTAAGTTCGCCCGACGCCTCTCGGTTGTCGGTGTGGTTCTTCTAGTGTCCCTTGGTCGAGCTGCCTGTGGAATGGTCCGAAACAATCTTCTCCCTAGGTTCGTTGCCGATGCCCGATGACGTAGCGGCTCTGGAATTGCTAGCTGCATGTCTCACCATCTGCCTAGCCGTACAGAAAATGCGACCCATTGATAAGTTGATTCTATTTTCTGATAATTCTGCCTGCGTTCGTGCCATCAGCAGATGTTTCTCGTCAACACCCCGAGGATCTGTCATTCTACGACGTTTGGCATTATGTTTGTCGAATCTTTCGTATTGCCCAAGGATAGAAGTGGTCCATTTACCAGGAAAATCTAATATCCTGGCCGACTGTATCAGTCGGAATGTCCCAACCGCAATTGGCGAAGTGGCCGAACTCGTTCCCTGCCATCTCTTGTTCTCCCGCCTAGATAATTGACGAGGCTATATCTTCCAGTCCCTTGCTCTGCCAGCTGTGTGAACGCCTCAGAAGTGTGCGCGCGCTAGTTCTCTCGTTTCCGACTTCCCGTGTTGTTGAGTGTCTGGTGGTCTTCTTTCTCTCCATGAGTTGCTATGTCAGCAAGGCTGTTTCCCATGTCCGACACGTTCCTGGCTTGGCACCCTCTGCCTTGCGTTGACTGGACACCAATCGGTATCTCTCAGTCGCCCCCGTCCCCGAGATCCGCCTTGAGGCATCAGGTGCTCCACACTAATACGGCGCCCTCACCCCCGGTTGATAACGTGCCAGGCCCAAGTCCCGCAGCTTGCACTAGGTCCGAGGTATCCCCTTTCCACCTATACCTTTTCAATCACGGGTTCGCTCGTTCTCCCTCGCTCACCGCCACCCGAGCGATACAGTTCGCAGCCTCCTTCACGTCTTCCTCGCTATCTGAGTTTGTGAAGAACGGGCACGCCTGGTCTACCCAGTCACAGTACCGTTGTGCTCTCCAACTGTACTGCGCCGTCTGTGCCGCGCACGGGGTATCTCCTAGTCCGGTCGATTCGAGGTCTTTGGTCCTACTCATCGGGTCTATGACCAAAGCTGGTTACGCGTTCAGCACCATCACCAAGTATTGCTCTCAGGTGAGAAACGCAGCCAGACTCAACAATACCCTGAGACTGAACGACGCTGACCAAGCCACTATTCAATTGGCTATGCGTTCCGCCGAAAGGCAACTCGGTTCGGCGACAGCGAGGGCCCTGACCTTGTCTAAGGAGCAAGTCCTCCAAGTGGCCACCGAACTCGACCGGGTCAGAGTGGACTTCGCGGACGGTTTCCTCGTGGGTACCATGGGTTTGCTGCGTGTCGCCGAGATGTTGTATATTCGAGCCCAAGACGTCGACCCCTTCGCCACTACGGCTGACGGCATACCAGTCTGTGGAGCAACCCTGAAGATCACCCGATCCAAGTGCGACCAAGGTGCCAAAGGAGTTTGGAGGCCTCTACCGTGCACGTCTTCACCTAGGGTCAACCTCCCTACTGTGTGTTCCTCGAGGTTTTGTGCTGCCCATCTGTTATTGAGGCGAGCCGCTGCCGCAAACAACATGACCGATCGTTTGTTCCCGTTCTCGAACTCCGCTTTCAGTGCGCATTTAAGGTCCGCTATGGCCACTGTGATCGGCCAACCCAACGAGAGCGTACGCTTATCTTCCCACACAATGCGTCGCTCCGGCTCCGCGATATGCTGCGACGCCCCAAATTTTTCAGTGCCCCTAGTCGCCGAGTTCGGCAGATGGTCCACCGCTGACACCCTCCAGAACGTGTACCTTCGGGACAATGCTCACGCGTTCAACCGGTTCGTGTCGGGCCTCCTCGTTGCTTGGGGTTCATAAGGCGCGTTTAGCCCTTTTAGCCAGCATCTCGTTAGGTGCGATGACTTGCTGCTCTTAGCCTAGTAAGGTTAGCTATCTGCTTCTATACAACCTCCAATTGTTGTGTTCCGTAGTGTAGCGACGGCCTGATAGTCCGCTAGATCTTCCGCGTTTCCTACTCCCCCCCTTGAGTCGACTACGTTTTTGACTCGCGGGCTCGGGCTTTTGGTCTCGTTATAAACGCGTCGATCCATGGAGCGTGACTAAGGATGCACCCTGGGGTTCAGATGCCCTTGGTTACATCGTTGTATTTCTTCCCTAAGGCTCCAATTCAGGCTGTACTGAGCTACAGTAGCTCCGACGTCGTGGAATCCTGGATCGAGCTTAGCGAGCTATAGCCTCGAACGGCCCCTCGACTTTATTATTATGTCATCTGTATATCATTGTATCATGGTGTTCAATAGTCTGTAAGAAGCCGGTCACGGCCCTTCGTCAGTGAAGGACCATCGTTCTGTCGTATCGGAGATGCCCGATTTTAGTCCCAACTGTCCTGAAGTCAGTTTTCCTTTCGGCTACGGATCTCTTCTTTCGGGAGGGTGTGGCGAGAGGTAGTTGTTCATCTCGGCCCTGGTTTGCGTTAGGAAACCGGCCACGAGAGATCATCCACCTTGCAGTTGCCGAAAGCTACAAATCACGGACCCAGTTTACGGGTTCCGTGTTGTGGTTTTCGACCACTGCCCCTCCCGAACTCGCAGATCAGAGGTTTCATCGAATGGACTCCACTAGAAGCGAGTCGGTTCTCGCTTGGAGCTCATTCAATTATCGAGAGGGGTATCCGTCGAATTATCACTAATTAATACCCTCAACTGTTCTTGAACACTACCCTCTATAGCAAAACGAAGCTCCGATTCTTACGGGTTCATTGATGACAAAAGTTCAACAAAACGGCGAATAGTTGGTATATAGCTCGTACGAAGCTTGGCCGGTGAGTTTTCTAATATCGCAAATCAAGATCCGTAATGAGGACATACCACGAAACATAACGAAATTCACGAACAGAAGACATCTATCATTCGTGGAAATAATACATGAAAAGTAGTAGTATAACAGTAATGCAGGTCAACTGTGGATTAGAATTGTTGAAATGCCGATCATCCACGTCGTCCACAATCCTACTCCTCACGAGGATATTCATCGAGTATCCTTAGAGAGATGACAAATAGACAACTGCAACTCACCATGACCATTCATAAGGTGTGAATCTACCACAACTTGTAGCTGATACCGCCTATTGGAGCATATACGAGACAAGACTAATAACAGAAGAAGCACTTCCAAACAAATCCCGAGGCCCTCCAAAGCTGGGCGAGGAGTCCTCTCAGAGGACTATTTTAATATTTGTCAGCCGAGTCATCACCAATAATGATGTGACCGAACGCGATCATGGAGTATATGACGCAGAAGAGTTTCATTTTTATATTCTTCGTAGACACTAGAACGCTGGAATTGCCGCAACATCTGCACGCATAAATTGTTAAGCCTTACGAAGCCTTCGTGCTTGTTAGCCCACAAAGTAGCTAAGAGTTGGAGGCGTTGACGACTCTACTCTGATGAGAGGTCGTGCCCTCAGAAGTTGAGTGGTGAATGTGAATAGTTGACTACTGTGAGTCCATGTCGACTACTCTAGCTTCGAGTCCATGTGAACAAGCGGATTCTACCATGCAATGCATGGCATGCATACATGACTACTGATAGGTGCCTCCTATATGTTGGAGCATTCGTGATTTAGGTGGAGCCTGATGTTCCACGCACGTCTTACCATCCCTTATGTCATCAATCGCTCAGCTAGCTCAGACTAGGCAATTTCCCAAGAAAATTTTCATGACAAATTCACCGTTCATGAGTCGAAGGATCACTTGAGCAACTATACAAAACCATTAAGAGGTTCGCCCTCGTCAAGGTCCGAAAGGAGCGTTAATCCTGATCGGATTCGCGGCTTGAATTTCAAGCGCATGGTAAGCGCCCCGCATGCACACATCCAGTACCGTACTGGCAGTACGAAGTTTGCACACAAGCAGAATACAATGAAGAGAGAGTAGCTGATACACGGTTCCGTAGCCAGCGGGCCGATAATTTAGGGACCTCAACCCGTACCAACTTAAGGACTTTCTTAAGGTAACATTCTGGAATCTCGAGGAAATGGCGGAGTGATGATGGTTTGACAATAATATTTGCAGATTCTCTATAGATGGAGATAGATCAGATGACCATCGTTATAATTATCGCCGTCTTGTGGTGGAAGTTCTACCGTAGAACATCAGAGATATCGGTCTCGTCTACAGTGTAGGCGTTGGAAATTGGTATTGTGTACGGGAGGAGTGTTGCGACGTTATAACTACATATATTATATTCTCGGTCTTATACCTTCTAAATCTTCCACGGCTCGAGGGCGTTCTCACCCCTCCAAGCCAATGGCTTGAAGCCAATGAAAAATTAATATTTTACATTTTACAATCATCGACGAGTTGGATGGAAGCTTAATTTCATCTTCGAACGTCGCGATTGTCTACCCGCAAGAACTTCTGATGTAACTCGGCCGGAGTTGTGTTGCGTTCTCGGCCTGCGCGGAGCTTTCGCGACATTGAACAGGAATATCACCATTATTAAAGCCCAACGGATACTACCGCAGTATTACTGCGAAACAGGAAAGGTGATATTAGGAATTTGAGCTTTGTGGTACTGCATACTTTACGATAAAACGGCACAGGAACGGAGGAACATGATAATGTGTCTCAGCAGATAATTTGGAAGTCAGAATTTCTGATTCGCTGCGAATCAGAGAGGTGATTCACTACACTGTTACAGACTGTAACTTACAGTGTAGTGAACCATCTTTCTGATTCGAGACTTACAATAACTCGCGTAAACCACTCACAGGTATGAATGATGTGACGTTACGTCACTGACGTAGAAGCTCCTCGGATACGGTGAAATCATTTGCTCTGTTCTGTTGAACAGAGTTACCAGTTCCACTAGTCTAGTGGCACTAGATCATACTGCCGTCCGCTTCGGGAGATCTACCGCGGAAAGTGTTCAACAGATCTTCTTGGGGGGCTCGAGACGTCCCGCATGAGAAGGTCTACCAGAGAGCTCCCTGAGTGAAGGCTTCCAGGAGCCGCTCCTCAGGAGCGCATGAATCCTACGTATGCCCTTGACTGCACAAGTCGCAGAAGTGACGGATAACATGAGAAAGATCCAAGATGACCGAAAATAATAATTCAACTGGAGTTCATCTGGTCCCGTTCACCGTATCGTTCGGGAAAGTGCCATTCAGCAGCTCTCAATGAACCTGCGAAGAACGTGAAACAATTGAAATTTCGAGAGAAGATCACGACTGATTACCTGCGAAACTATCCGAGGGCATCTCGCACATGGAAACTAAAGCCTCAGATGAAAAGGTCTGTTACCTGCTTGAGGATCAAAATGAGATCTACAACTGACACGTCAAGGTTTACAAAGAAAAGCCCCTGTTCTTAGACTCTCTTCAACAGTCGCAACAATACATGTAAAATCCTTGGGGGGTCGGACAACATCTGCAGCTCGGCAGCGGGCACTTTTGGGGGCATCCAGAAGCCATCAACGGACCCGGCAGGACTACAGGGTCGGCGGATAAGGACTCATCCTTTAGGGCTGAGAACTGCACAAGGCAGTATAGGAAGAAGAAGATCGTGGAAAAAGAGCGCATGTAGATTGAGAGATCAACGCTGAATGTGTGAGCAGTCGAGCACATCTGGTAAGTTCGCCAGGTGCCTGACATTAACGGGTACATCATGTGCATG